CGTAGACTAGTGAAGCCACCGCAGGTACTTGTCGAAGGTGTGCTGGTCGTGTGGAGGACCCGCATGGACCGGCTGTCATTCCCTGGTCTCCCACAAAAGGATGTGCGCGTTGTGTGTCACACGCCAATCCTTGGTCTTGTACCTCTTCCTGTGGTCATACCTGCAACAAAATGATGTTAGTTGTACCACACACACCTCTGAATTATAGCTTTGTTATTAATCGATAACGCACCCGTGCAATCCTTTGTTGGTGGAGTAAAGCAGTGGTGGACAGCCTGTCATTCTTTCAAACTATCTGCAGACCCTGATGGGCAAGTGACTCTCGACCATGTGGAAGAAAATAATAGGGACGTTGCAGCGATACTCGTCTGACTCGTCCCTAGTGACAGGACTCAGATAGTACTCGAGCTCTGGAGCATCCCAAGGACACCAATGCACTTAAACATTTCGCAATTGAGTTAGGTTGTGATATAGTGTACATCCAACAAGACATATGTATGATGGTAAAGAGAGCGTAACCTGGTGTTGTGTCAGGACGTCGAGACGGTCCGTGTACTCCCTGTACTTGCGCCTTGCATTCCCTGTAACTAACTCTGCTTCTGTCCAGATATACAGAGCTGTAGGGAGTGTATCATGCCCGTTCTATTGCTGCATTGAACACGATAATAAAATAGCCATTAATAATTTAATCATATGTAACTACCTCGAAGAATATAGTGAACCGAAGTACTTACCGGTAAACCAGTATTAAGGGGCCTCCCAACAGGCCATCATTCCCAACACCAAACCTAGAGTAGGTAGGAGCAACCCCCAAGGTTTGCATACCCTGAGGTGCGACGGCAGGCAACGCACAGCTATCGATATGTCCATGCTAGGACTGCGCTACCCCAGCTGTACGCCGCTATGTTCTCCCACGACTGGCGTAGTATGTCAAGAAAGATCCAGCTGATGGTGTTGCCCGATGCGTCTGGGAAGAGGAAAGCACCAAGGAAGTTCCAAAGCCATTTTCTAGCGAAACTGTCGATCTGAGCCTCCTCAGCCTGTGGGTCCAAGTAATCAAGGCGCTCTATGATCCAGGACGATGAAACACAAGAACTTTTCCTGAAATTGACCAAAGAAAATGAGACCCGATGACTGTAGGAAAGCAATGCAAGTATTAAATAGGCTTGAATTGCTCACTTATTTTTCTTGGATGCCTCGTCGTCCGGGTGATGAAACTAGTGAACTGAGCCACCAGCTCCCTCCAGTGATCGTTGTCAACTATCCCTGTCACTGGAAGTCCCCCCAACCAAAAGCTAAAGATAGCCTTCACGTCCTGCATGGTCAAGGTCATCTCGCCGCAAGGTAGGTGGAACGTGTGGGTCTCAGGCCTCCACCTATTATAAGAATAGAACGACTGTTAGTTGCCTCAAATTTGTTATAAGAATGTTTACGTACAAAGAAGGCACTCACACCTGTCTACAGCTGCAGTAAGTAGTGCTGGGTCAAGGGGCGGAAGACCGTAGTTGATAACACGGACAAGCTCGAGGAAGCCGGCACGCCGTATATACGGCGCGTAACGCTCATCCCACTGGTGTGCCCTGGTGTGCGTGCGGCGCCTCAAAGTAGGCAAGGCCACCTGTGCATCGGTGTCACTCAAGATGTGTGCTCGGTGCTGATCGTCGTACTCCACCTCAAGAATGGGATACAACGGGTGCTGCGTGGGAGGGGTCATCCTGTTACAAATTGATAAACAAAGGATTAGAGTATTCAAATTAACAATATTCAAATTAAAAATATGTATCATTGCAAAATTTGAACTACTTGTTATGCAATACGAACACAATATGAAAGCACATGTATATATTCAAAGTTACATTAACACACATATTAAACAACTTCACTAGAAAAATAAGCATTTGACAAAACTTCATCAAGTCATCCAAATCGCCGTATCACGCACTACTAAGTACCGACAATCAATCCCTAAACCCAAAAACCTAACTAACAGTAACCTAAACCCTAACTACCTAACCTAAACCTAAAATCAATCCCTAAACCCTAACTACCTAACCAAACCTTAACTATCCTAAATCACTAACAAATTCTAAATCACTATCCTAAATCACTAACAAATTCACTAATCTAACTATCTTAAATCACTAACCCTAACTACAATAACAATCATAATAACATGAAATCGAGAGAGCCTACCTTGATATGTGCGGGCGGGTGGGCGGCCGACGGCCGTGACGCGCCGGCATTCGTGGCACGGCCGGAGTGGCTGTTGCGGCGGGCACATGCGGCGCGGGCGGGCGGGCTGGTGGCTGGGCGGGCAGGCGCGGTGGTCGACGGCAGTCTTGATGCGGCGGCGGGCGCGGCAGCTGTGGGTGTGGCTGCAGGCAGGGCTGCAGGCAGAGGCAGGTAGGCGGCTCGGGGCGAGGGGGCGGCTCATGGGCAATATTTGTTCGATCTGCTTGGCGCCATGCGGCTGTGGCGTGGCATCGCTGCTTAAGATCGGTGGCGCGCGAGATCTCGCCACGTCACCGGTCGGTGGCCCGGTCTCGCCACGCCACGCCTCACGCTCCAAGGCGCCACCATGCATGCGCCAAGAAGACAGCATTTCGCCGCGCCATAAAAATAGGCGCGGCCAAAAGTGTTAGTTTAAAAAAACAGTGTTAGATTTAAAATTATTTTAAAAAATGTTAAAATTAAAAAAAACGTTTCTCTGTTGAATTTCAAACGTGTACTTGACTAAGGGCCTGTTTGGCATGGCTCCAACTCCAGGTAGTGCAACTCCACTCTAAAAATCCAGGTGGAGCTGGCTCTTAGTGGAGTTGGAGCTGTCTATAGAGGGTGTTTGGTTAGAAGGGTATTCTCAGCTCCAGAATGGTGTTTTATCAGCGTGGATTGCCTACTTTTTGCCCTTGGTTGATATGAGTGTACTTCAATGATGCGTCCAGCAACAAGACAAGCATATTGGTACAAAAGAAAACTCACAACAACAATAACAAAGCTTGTCAGTGCCAAATAAGTTAGGGTAAGCTAATACAAAAGAAAACTCAATAACATCGAAAACATTCAACATTTGTACATTGATCCTCACATCCATCATATTTGTACAAAATCAAATTCATCCTGAACAAAAATCTTCCTGGAATCCAACAGATCAGTAGACTCAATTTCTGTGGAAGAGTTGACGCTTCAGGATTTGTAGCAAAAATTGAACAAATACAAAAAAGGAAAAAATGAACAAAAAAATCCAAGGAAAAAATGAACAACAGAAATCCATCGCACTGATAAAATCAGAGACTGGATCCACGCTAGCTGTTATCGGTCAACCCATGAAGGCAGTCTTCGTATCCACCACGGCCATCTCTGAGGATTCCAAAGGGCCGCCGCCGCCGTCATACATGGACTGGATCTGCATTCGCCGTCACCACGGATCAGAAAGTTGAGGCTCCGTTCGGTGGTCGGTGCTCGGTGGAGAAGCCGCCATGCTAGGTGCGCCGCCTCCCCCATGGACCCCCGCACCGGCCCGCTCCGCGATGTGGAAGGCTGCCGAGATGCGCAGGGGCCGTCGCCGCCGTCACCACCGGAAGGAGGGAGGGGATGGCCGTCGCGGCTTGCCGGATCCGTCGTGGGAAGAGGCGCCACCACTGGAGGGAAGGACAGCGAGGGCGTGCGTGGATCTTGTGGAGAGATTACCGGCTCCGGCCAAGATCCATGGCCGCCGCGGGGGAACGGGCCGGGGGGGGGGGGGCTCGACCACGCGAGGCTAACCGCCAGGAAGTTTTCAATGATGCGTCCCGCCCAGGGGAGTGCAGGCGTGGGGAAGAGGCACGGGGGAAGGAGGCGAGGACGGCGGGGGGAATGGAGGCGTGGTGGCGGCGGCGAACGGCGGGGAGGGCGAGCGCGGAGGAGGCGGCGACCGCGTGGGTGAAGTGCGAGCGTGGGGGCGGCGGCGTCAAGTGGGAACTACGCGTGGGTGACGGGACGAGCACGGGCGCTGGTGGATAGGGTTCCTGGGGGTCAGAAACATAACAAATAATGGTTCGCTGTGTTAAGTGTGTAATCGATGGCAAAAGCGGGTAATTTTCTTAGAACTCCATGTCTAGAGGCTATTTTAGGGGTTCTGGGGCTGGAAAAGAGGTGCTCCAAGGGAATGAGCTAGAGCTTCAATAACTCCATGGAGTTCGGCTGCTCCAACTTTTCTTGGAGTTGGTGTGTTTGGCTAGCTAATCCTAGCTCTAGCCTCATGCCAAACAGACCCAAAGCATACGTCAACCAAAATCTAACAACTTGGCATCTCCAGTAGTATAAATAACTGTCAGGCTATTCGCTTGCTCGTATACGATCGTGGATTATAAGCTGGAACAGTATTTTTCTCTCACACCAAACCAGCCAGCAGTAAATAATTCACGATCACTTACGGCCTGCCGAACAGGCTGTACTCCACAGCAGATCAAGGAACAGAAGGACACATAACATTCTCTTTGTCCCGGCTGCAAATCAAGGTGCGTATGCTTAGTGTCTCCCCGCCCTCTATTTTTCTTTACATCCTCTTCCTTCCTTCCTTTCTTTCTTATTAGTATTGTTAGAGATGTTACTCATCTTCCGATCCGCAGACACACGTACGGGTTGAGATATATTGGTGTAGCTGCTTTCGATTTTTAGGTATAATATAGCAAAATCATCCATAGATCAAACTTCATCTTATTCATGTCAGCTTGCTACTCATTAATTTGTCAACTCCGTGCTTTTATCTTTTTATTACTATGTGCCAGATCTGGTGCCAAAAGTATCCAGCCTGGCTCTTCAGTTTACGTTTAGCGATTAGAAGCTGCACTCTGCAGACTAGCTACTCCATTCTAGCACCTATCTAGTGCTACAGTATTCTTCCATTTTAAATAGTGCCAAGTTACAAGGGGGCCCAGTTTTTACAATCAATATTACCTTTCCTTTAAACAAATCACAACACTTTTTTTATCTAATTTTGATTTTGTAGATACCAAACAACAATGGCGATGGCATTGGATGCTTTAGCATCATACCTCCAAGACATGCTGTTGGAGATGGCTAAAGAGGAGGTTCATCTACTATTGGGTGTCCCCAATGAGATAAAAAAAGATGGGCATCAAGCTCGGGGACCTCAAGAGGTTCTTCGCCAATGCTGACAGGAGGAACACCTGTGACAAGCATGTGCAGACGTGGGTGAGAGAACTTAGGAATGCCATGTATGATGCCACCAACATCCTTGACAGAGGGAGTACAGACTAACCTTGCACGCAGGGATCAATGCTGTATTCAAAAAACGAGCAAGTTGGTGAGGTAGCAACGTCTCCTCGACGTATATAATATAACAGAGGCATCATAAATGGGTGGAAAGACATGATATAGGATGACTCATTGACTCAATAACCCAATAACCAGCAACGACCCAACGAACTAGTAGTAAACATGTTGATGCTAATCAAACAGGCATGCTTCCCGCACCTAACGTTTGCCAATCGTTGTAGACTCCACTTTTCCTACTCCACTAACAACAAAAAATTAGCTAAAAGCTAATCTCTGGCCATACTTTGGCTTAGGGCGTCCCCAACAACTGTGGACTTCGCTGGCTGACTCGGATTCTCATCTGACGTGTATGTGAGAGAAAGCCCAAAACCATCCTCGCTAGCGACTTTCTCGTCGCTCAGCTCACTCAAAAAACGAGGTGAAGCCGGGCATGCAGTGGTGGCAGAGGGGAATCTTGCCTCTGTGACGGACGAGATGGAGAAACAAATATAATTAAAAATTAGGTGTGGGACCCATGGCTCTTCAAATCGCTGGTTGCCGGCGATTATTGTTGGGGACGCCCTTATAGAAGTAAGTGAATGTACTGAAAAGTTAAAGCCAGCATGGGCGGCATCATTCTCTTTCACACCTACCCATGGATGCGCATGATTAAACTACCAGAGTGATGACGGAGAAGGGTAATTGACTAATCCCATCTGCATGTGGCGCATTCTCTCCAAAAGTAGAAGTTGCGCTCCTTCTTCCTCCCACCAACAACCCCATCGGCATTGCATTTCTCAGCGCATGGCGCGCGACAGGGGCATGACCAGAGCGAGTCTCCCGTGTGTTTGTGTGTGGGTCTCTCTTCTGTGTTTTTTCAGACAATGGAAAGAAGAGTCCGGCTTTATCCCTTTGAGGACTAACGACCAAATTATGAATCAAACGTTTCTTCGTAAACATTTTTTTTTTATAAAAACCGACTCAAGACCTAATCTTACTATTACTAATTAAAGGCACTACGTTAATTCTCATCTGGCGCGCTAGTCAAAAAAAATAAATCCTAGAAACTCTCAAAACAATAAGAAACATCTAACCTTTAATTTGATAGACTTTTGTTGTCATCGTTGATAATGGGCATTGGATCTGTTATAATTTATAAAAAAAACCTTTACTATTATGAGAATACATAAAGTAACCTTTCAATCTTGCCTCCAAATTATCCACGTACCACTATGAAAGATAATTAAAAATAACCCCGTAAATTTGTATATGAATTACCCATCTTACGAAGATAATTCAAAAAACTCTCTACCAATAGCAATATCACCAATTATTAATTTTAATTTTATATTAATACTCCATGATAATAGATTTCATAATTTGGTATTTCGAATAAGTTTATACATTTTGAATAAAACATTATGTCATATCAATATTAGTAACTTATTTTTGAGCATTCTACGTTATATAAACAACACTACTACACATATAATCCTGTGTTATAATAAATTCAACATATTGAGCCGTAGTGATATACATCATATACGATGAATTTTCCATCTATTCTTGTACACAGACGTCACCTAATTGCACCGTAGTGATATACATATACGATGAATTTTCCATCTATTCTTGTACACAGACGTCACCTAATTGCACCGTAGTGATATACATATACGATGAATTTTCCATCTATTCTAGTAGACTGGTACATCGGTCATACGCTTAGAACGTCGCATGTGATTTTTGCCTCTACACACGGTACCATTTACTAGCACTTGATTTTGCTTCCGATTATGCCCAAATAAGTGTATTTATATATATCTACATGTTCCATTCAATTAACCGGCTTAAGTAGCTGCTTGCAGGTGGTCGGAAATAAAAAGAATGATGAACCAAAGGTTGATGCACTGAAGGGCATTGGAATGTTGATTGTAGCAAAATGTGATGGTTTGCCTCTCGCAGTCAAAGTAATAGGAGGCCTCCTCCGCCAAAAAAAAGGCAAGGCGAAGCGACTGGAAAAATGTTCTGAATGATTCTACATGGTCAGTATGCCAAATGCCTGAAGAGCTAAACTATGCAGTATACCTTAGCTATCAAGATTTGCATCCTGAGTTGGAGTTTTGCTTTCTGCACTACGCACTCCTCCCCAAGAGTATGGTGTTCACTTATGATCGCATTAATTGTTGCCATGTGGATTAGTGAAGGATTTGTTCATGGAAACTCGCATGATGTAGAAGTATCAGGAAAGGAGTACTATGACCAGTTAATTGCTAGGAACCTTCTAGAGCCAAATCCAAGGTACTTGGACCAGGAAGTATGCAATATGCATGACGTTGTTCGCTCATTCGCTCAGTATTTAGCTAGAGATGAAGCAATAGCAGCTTACAAAAGTGAAGCTAGCCCTACCAACAAAATTAATACACAAAATATTATTCGGTTATCGATAAAAACCAAAGAATCAGAGCCAAATGAACTAGCGTGGAGCTCTCTACAGGCACATATATCACTACGAACACTGATTTTAGTTGGAGAAATAAAGATCAGCCAAGGTGATTCGCTATCATCTTTTCAATGTTTGCGGACCCTACATATAGAAGATGGAAATTTTGATGCATTGTCTAAATCATTGGTCCAACTCAAACACTTGAGGTATTTGTCCCTAAATGGCACTGACACATCTAGGCTGCCAGCAAAAATAGCCAAAATGAAATTCTTGCAGTGCGTTGACCTTTCTAATTGTGGAAGTTTGGTGAAGCTTCCTGGCGACATTGGAAAGTTAGTGCAGCTGAGGTATCTAAGCCTTAGGCCCTGTTTAGTTGCACCCCAAAATGCCAAATTTTTCAAGATTCTCCGTCACATCGAATCTTTAGACGCATGCATGAAGCATTAAATATAAATAAAAAATAAAACTAATTACACAGTTTAGACGAAATCCACGAGACGAATCTTTTAAGCCTAATTAGACTATGATTGGACACTAATTACCAAATAACAACGAAAACGCTACAGTAGCATTTTGCCAAAAATTTTGGCATCCAAACTGCCCCTTAGTGACTCGGGTATAAACAATATACCCAGGGGTTTCAGCGGCCTAACTAATTTGAGGACATTATATGGGTTTCCAGCCTATGTGGAGGGTGATTGGTGTAGTTTGGAAGAATTGGGGTCTCTTAACATACATGGCCTGGAGAATGTATCTTCTTCCTCATTTGCTATAAAGGCCAGGCTTGGTGTAAAGGTGCACCTCAGCTATCTGTGCTTACAGTGCACTAGTACACATGGAGGTGCTCACTGGTTGGTAAAACAGGAAGAGCAGCAACAAATCGAGAAGGTGTTTGATGAGCTCTGCCCTCCACCTTGCTTAGAAAATCTAGAAATCCTAGGGTACTTTAGTCAACGATTTCCGAAGTGGATGATGATGACAGCAATTGGGTCCCTTGGAAGCTTGAGTATTCTAAGTTTCTAACGATGGATGACTTGCCTTATTGCACGGAGCTACCTGATGGCTTGTACCAGCTCCCTAGCTTGGAGTTCCTACAGATTAAAAACGCCCCAGGCATCAAGCGTGTTGGCTCAGAGTTCTTACTCCCACACCATCATGATTTGAAAATTTGGTTGGATAGGTGTCATGGCCTCGGGAGGATCAGCAATCTGCCAATATTGCAGAACCTCGTCATCATAATGTGCCCAGAGGTGAAGGTACTAGAGGGTTTGCCGGCACTTCAGAGACTCGCACTGGAGGACTACGATGTGGAAACACTCCCTGGATACTTAAAGGACGTAAACCCAAGGCTTTTGGATCTGTACTGTGACGTCTCGCTGCTGGCTTGTATAGCTAAACGGGAATCTGGCCCTGAGTGGGACAAGTTCAGCCATATCAAGCAAGTTAAGGCATAAGCACATGATTACGGCAACAACATTAAAAGCAAGTGGTACGTGAAGTACACAGGCGATCCTTTCATCTTTAAGACAAACATCATCCCCTCTTCTGACGCTTCAGGTAAATTAACACAACACTGCTGCTTTATACGTTGAATACAGAGTATGTACCTTTCTTGCTCTGGGAATATCTCGTCACTTGACTAGAGGGGCCGTTTCAGGGGATGAGTCGGAGGAGATGGTAATTAACACAACACTGCTGCTTTATACGTTGCATACTGAGTATGTACCTTTCTTGCTCTGGGAATATCTCGTCACTTGACTAGAGGGGCCGTTTCAGGGGATGAGTCGGAGGAGATGGTATTGGACGAAGTGTTGAAAATTCCAAGGGAAGTCATCATGGAACGACAGAGGGAGGAAGAATCAAGTATGCATGCTACTCCAAGACTATTTATTGTTACTACTACATACGTCTTGCACTGTCGATTATATAATGCATAAAAGACCTTGCCTGCAGGTGGAGTGCCCATGCATCTGCGACCTGCGGCATGGACAAAAAGGAACCTTGGAGGCTGGAGGGCTGTGGTCGCTTTGACCGAAGAAGAAACAATGGCGGAGCCGTTTGCTGCAGGTCGTCGTGAGGCAGTCAGATGTTGCACAATGCAAAAAAAGTAAAAGGAGACTAGAATGCGATGCGATGTGAATTAGTAGTTTTTTTTTTAATTCGAATCTGCTTTACTGTGGATGCAGTTTATACCACCTGAGAATAGAGCCATGTACGTATAATTAAGTTGTGAGACGTTACAAAACAAATGTTATGATACAGCTTATTCCGGCTTGCGGATTCATTGTGAGCATGAAAATGCAGCTTGCCAACGGGCTCCCTTCAATTTTCGGATAAGTAGGAATAATGCCCATTTATGGGATTATGTTTGGTACAAGGTCTCGATGACTTGCGTAGTAAAGAGTTTTTTTCCTTAGAAAAAGTTGATGAGTATTGCCTAGCGTGTGGTAAGATGAAAAAAAAGGCCTATTTAGTTGGAAGTCTGTATTTAGAATGCTTATACGAGAGAGAGAGAGAGAGAGAATATCACTTTTGTATTGTCTTTACATGCATAACCAATGAAATACTCGCTCCGTCCCAAAATAAGTGATGTTCTGGGTTTATCCTAAGTTAAACTTTTTTAAGCCTGACCAAATTTATACAAAAAAACTACTAATGTTTATAAGACCAAATATGTATGGTTAGATTTACCATAAAATATATATTCATATTCTACCTATTTGCTGTCATAAATATTGATATCATTTTCTATAAATTTGGTCAAACTTGAAATAGTTTGACTTAGGACACTGCCTAGCATGACTAGTACATAAATGATTTTTAGCAACGCCTCTCTTTTCAATCAGAGGCGGTTCAACTAGCACTAGTACAGAAAAGAGTTGTACTCCCAGTTGGGAAACTCCTTCAGTCCCGATTTCCCAACTGGGAGCACGAATGCGGGACTAAAGGACCCCTCTTTTAGTCCTGATTTCTCGCCCGGGACTAAAGGTCGGTTGGTAATACCAACCGGGGCTAAAGAGGCCTCCCGCCCTAGCCACGTGGGCCGGCCCTTTAGTCCCGGTTGGTATTACCAACCGGGACTAGAGGTTTTCTTTTTTTTTTCTATTTTCAATTGATGATTTATTTTGGTTTTCGAATAGGTTTTCGAATATGCATTCTACGCTGCTAATAATATACATATTCCACACGCTTATAATGTTCGAACATTTTGTATAAACTAAAGTATGAAACTAACGTATATATTACATGCATATACATATATTGTTCGTTATTTTATGTACATATAATATATATATATATATATATATTACAAATAAAGCTTGCATTGTATATTCTATCATATCCTTGGGATAACAAATTCACTCCATCTGGTTTGGCTTCCATGTTTCGTTCACGTCATTGTAGAACTCGCCGGCGGGGTTTAAGACCTGGTCATTAAGAAATCCTGCTATGGTCTCTTGAATTGCTTTCAGTTGGTCACGTCGTATGACTTTTTCCTTCAACCATAGAGTCTTCAATAAAAGTTAAAGGAAAAGTATTAATATATATATATATATGTTGGTCACGGATTACTTATATATATATGAGCAATAAAAGAAATTATAAATATATTTATATAACGTTCTTTGAGGATCTCTTCAAGAGTTCTTTTTGCGTACGCCATGATGAACTCGCAAACATAGTATCTGCAGTAATTGGTCTCCTGCTCTTGCCTCAGAACCCACTTTTACGAGAAAAAAGATCTGGTGAATTAAAAGCATGCATGGTGTTAATTGAATTATATATATATATAAATGTAGCTAGTACTTACTTTGTGTGCGATTACATCTAGTGGCGCTTTGCAATGTTTCAAGTGGTGTTCCTCAATGAAACTTTTCCAAACACTGCGTCCAATAAAATAAAAAATTAATTTGGCCTTTAATAATTGTTGCAGTTAAGAGATCGGGGTATATATAGTTGCTAGAGAGACCAAATTACCCTTGGATAATATCTATCATATCTTGGTACTCTGTTTGCTCTTTTCTTAACGAGTCTAAGATGCTCAACCGACTATTGGCCATATCGATGACCATCAATATCCAGTGATTGCTGCATATGTTTTTATACATAAATATGATCGACATTAACTAGAGTCAACATATATATATATGGGAGATAGCTTAGCTAGTAAGCAAATAATTGAACAAATGTCCATATGATCGACATTAATTATTTAACACTCACTTGAAATTGTAGGGGAAGAGTATGTCCTTGTTTTGTTGGTTCACTAAGAACCTCATAAGATTTTTCTCGAGTTCAGCTTTCCATTGAGATGGGGGATTAGGATGTTTGAATACGACATTTGGATCAACGAAACCAACATCATTATCCTTTCTCTTTCTGAGTTCTGTCATCTCATATCTGCATATATAAAAATATAGTGTGAGGATATATAATTTATATATATACATGTAGCTTTATATATATACACTTTAATAGTAGAAAATAATCACACTTACAGACAATAGCAGCTAATGAGACTTTTGTCGAGAAAGTCCAGGTGGCATAGTTGGTGTAATTCTAAAAACTCGACATATATAATATCATCGCCACGGAAGTAATGTTGGTTTCTAACTCTGACAGAAATAAAGTTCTCTCCCCGTTCACATGCCGCCATGTACCACTTGTTTAGCAAGTACATTTGTGTACCCAGTTCACCTAAGGCCTCAGGGTTGTATAGACTCTTTCCATGTTTAAATTTCTTCCAAGGATCCACTTTCCGAGCAGATGGTCTTTCAGCGAGCACTTGGGTAAGGTCCAAACCAGTATCCTCGTAAAACTGAACCAGGTCCTCAAAATCGACGTCCAATAAGTCTAAGTTTGAACCATATTCATTACGAATGACAAGAGGGGAGACTGATTGTTGAGATTGTTGTCCGAGTTGTGCAACATCTTTCCCTGCTCTAGTCTTTTTCTGCGTCACCTCAAATGACTTGGTGAGAGAGCAGTCGTAGTCTGATTTTGGCAGGGTCTTTTGAGATTCCCACTTTTTCTGGTCCACCTTCTTTCTTAGAAGATCTGGAGGTAGGTAGAAGTACGGTTTCTCCGGGTTCTCCCTCGCTTCTCGTTCCTTTCTTACTTTTTCGAAGAAACTGTTCACATCTTTTTGTACTGTAGCTTTTAATTCCTTTTCACTTTTCTCGTAAGACAGTTTTTGGGGAATAACTGGATTAGAGGAGGCTTTCTTCTTTGTCGGCTGGTGGGCCAATGGTTTCGTTTGCGGGGCGGACCTCTTAGGAGCTGGCTGCTTCTTGGTCATCAAGGGAGGCGGAGCAGCCGTTGGAGACCTCCTGGGAGGCGTTGGAGACCTCCTTGGAGGTGGCGGCGGTGGCGGCGTTGCCACCTGATTGCCCAGAGCACTATGATGATCTAGAGATTGAATAATTGGACTTAGGTTGGCGGAGGCTCTGCTGTGTAAGTACAAAAAAGAATAATTAGGTATAAGAAATTGTTATTATTAATCATGCATGTCAATAGAAAATTAGTGAAAAAATTATTTCGTTCACTTTTGTCCACACCTATTGTCTGGCAGTTGAGGAAGCGGCGGTGGACTAGAGACCCTGGGAATAATGATGTAGCGCTTGCGCCATAGTATGAATGTCTTCTCTGCTTCTCCTAGAGTCTTCTTCCCATCACCTCCTGGAATGTCAAGAGTCAGATCACTAAAACCTTTGTTAACTCTATCCACTGAGAAACCATGCTGATTCGCGCTGCTTCCTCATCCTTCCTTCTCTGCCGGCTTCTGTAGGTATCTCTGTCGTTAGGGAAACCATGATCCCAAGAAATGTTCCGTCCTAAACCTCTCGTTCGGCCACTGTGTTCAGCAGTCCCGATGACATACGTCAGTTCATCCTTCTCTCTATTGAGCCTGAACGCACCAATAGCTTTAGCTTGTAGAGCATAAGAAAATCTTTGTGTTGCTCTTTCGAGTTTTGGGCCATGAACCAACTTCTCAGTCTCTAGGTCCAGTCTTCTCCCATGAGCAAAAACCAATTCTTCGCACGTTTGGGCCAATTGAGTGATTCTGGTGTGATACCCTTGGCAAGGATGTCCGCTTCCATTTTTTCCCATTTATCTCGTACCCTTTGTATGTGAGGATATGCCATGATGGCTGCCTAGCCAAAAAATACAATTGCTCATCAATACTCTCATCACCCTGACATTTTTTTCGCAACCAGTCGCTGAAAGTTTCCATGTGCTGACGCGTAATCCAAGCTTCAGACTTCCCTGGAAATTCGGATCGGAGCAACTCTTTATGTGTATCGATATACGGATCAACCAAGGAGGAGTTTTACAGAACTGTATAGTGTGCTTTATTAAAATAATTGTTCTGCGTACCAATATATGGTTTCTTCCCTAGTGTCCCCTTTCCACTTAGTCTCCCATCGTGTCGCGATTCAGGAACACCAATCGG